ACACAGTTGAATATAATGTTTGACCATCGACATGTTAATGAATAGCAGATCCTAGATGCGATATTATATCAGTGACATGAGTCATTATGATGGTTTAAATATTAAACGATAAAAATGTTTGTATAATTTATCAATTTAAAAACTACAATTATAACGAAGTAAACTTGTCAAACGGAATAACAAAAACCTCACTTCTTAATACAATAAACGTTTGGTTTTAGAGTTAATTGTGAAAAAATTGCCCTTAAAAAGTTGGCAAGGAAAAATTAGGTCGGAAAATTGTGTATCCATAAACAGTACAAGTAACACTGTACGTATTAGGAATGACGGTTTAATAGGAATAAACATTATATTATATTTATTTTAAGAATATATGTTACAATTTACAAATTTCAAGAAATAAGATTTTTTTTTAAGTTACAAGGGATTTCTGTAGATATAACCATTTTTAGCAAAATTAACAAATTGTATCCTCAATTTTGAAAAAAAGAGGGGGAAATAATTGTATGGCCTTTCTTCAGTTTCGAATATCTTCGATCCTGCGTAACTGAGATCTTGACGGTAATACTACCTCGGTGATAGTGTGGACGAATAGAGGTTATCATTTCAGTCAGATATTGTTACATTTATCCGTTAAAATACATGTAAAAATGCAGTTCTCAACACGTGCGTTCGACATATAAATTTTATAGGTTAAAATTGTAGGAAAAGTTGCGATAATGATCTTTGTAAACAAATGAGTAATAAATATATATTCTTTATGTAAGTATACTTTATACTGAAATAAGACAAAGTCCTATTTCAAAAACCTAGCTGTAGGACAATTTGATTTAATTTGTTCAAATTCTATATCAATCTCAAGGGTTAAGTTGTGCCGTAAAGAAATAAAGTCAGTAATTCCTGGAATTGTCCGGTTGCAACAGTAAAACCCTTCCTTACAAGTGTGGGATGTATACATTAATGGGAGCCGCGTCAGGTCGGAGGAGGGACTTTAGATCTAGCCTGACATCCTGACCAGTCTAATACTTCGTCGAGCAGTTAGCCAGGATCCCAGGCTACTTCAAGTGAAATCCAGTACCTCACGTATTCAGGATGAATGTTACGATCTCTGATGTTAAATTACACTTGAGACAACTCTGTGATGGGATATGCATATTTATATTTCCCACTGAATGTTACGCTAGCAACATGCGATTAATCATTTTTTTTTAATCCACATGATCTACAGATGCCTTCAGTTTTGTGAGTATAAAACAACAAAAAAAAGGACTTTTACGCGTTTATCACTGACTCACGTATACCGTGATCTTTAGATAGCGAACGTAATGACGGACAACATGAGAAAAGTATGTCTCTTAATTTAAAAAAGGTAAAAAAAAAACAAGAGACTTTTGAAATTCGAAATTGTTTCGAAGTCATCTGAAGCAACAAATGGTTGGATATTATTGTTTTTCTTTAGAAGCGAAGAAAAAACCCTGTCTTCATCACCGTATATAGCTTCATTGGTGCTGTAAATGACCGAGACATAATTCGTCAACACAACGCGGTTCTATTTAAAAAAGGAGACATGTGCAGTTATGACTTTATTTTGACAAAAACGACTACATCTTTTAGATAAACGATGCATTTTAAGTCCGACACGGCAGATTTTATAGTTCTCATTTGCCTTTGCGCGATGAAAAATTGTACCAATGAATTCGTTTATAAAATTTCCATAGTTATAAAATGAGATTTGAGGGGGACCACCAATGGCGCTTTCCACTGATAAAGGGGACATCGTGATCGCCTTACTATATAGCACAGGTTGCACACTTCGTCTAGTAATGGACTTCTGATAATATTGATGTGGGTGTTTTGTCTATTGTTTGTTATACGTCACAAAATTGCTGTCTATTTTTTGTTTTATTTTTTCTATGTTTTCATGTATTTTCAGCAATGATCCTTTTGTACTGGATTTTATACTGAATAAAATTAGTTAGTTAGTTAGTTAGTTAGGCAAATTTTAATTGAAAGGCCAAGATTTTGAAAATTTTGATTAATGGAAAGTGGTTTAGTAGATAAGAGCAAAAATAATGTCATACAATTGTGAAACTATGAGTCAAATAGACAAAATGATCTTTCTGCTATCAAATCTATGATTCAGAAAAAAACATTTTTTTATATTTTGATGTAAGAAATTGTTTGTTGAAATCTCAGAATATGATAAAGATTCTTTGAAAAAAGTCATGGAATTTTAATTTCAATCTAGTGAAGTAGGTATTTAAGATGCTTGGGTAGCAATTTGAATGTAGAGAACATAATTATAATAAAATAACATCTTCATCTTATACATTTATTGCAAAAGGGTAGCTTGTTTGGATCTAACCAATCTTACATAATGCTCAAAAGAGCGCTTACTTTGGAAGTATATTTAAATTCGGCTACATAAACAGGGTTGATTTTTTATTTTCTTTGGTATAACTTCAAATTACTCAATTTTCATTGTAATATATATACATGTATTATTCTGCTTATTATTATCCCGTTATGTGTGCTAAACACTCAAGCATTTTACTTTGCAATGAGTAAAAAGGGTGATTAATTTTGATATATCCAGCCTCCTCCATTTATAACAGCTGCATCCTTTGAAACGTAAATAAGAAATAAGATAAAACAAATGTTTGCGTTATTTCGCAAATGTTTGCGCTATATCGCAAAGGTTTGCGTTATTTCGCAAATATTTTCATTATTTCGCAAAGGTTTGCATTGTAACACAAAGGTTTGCACTATTTCGCAAAGGTATAACGTAAACATAGGAAGAAATTTTTTTTTTTAAATTGTGAGGCGCTATAATACGCTTTCGTACATTTTTCCAAGATCTAATGTATTATTTTTTTTTTGTTATGCAGGAGAATAAGAAGTGGTTCTGTACTTTTTTTTTTCAATTGCAATGTTTAACACAACGAAATAGGCATAGGTTACGATACATGTGGATTTACGTGGGAGGTATTTTGTAACAGCCATTATTATGTACATCTCTGAGTCTGCGCTAAGTATATATATATATATATCAAGAATTTTATCAGTGTTGTTTACAAAGCTAAAGATGCACTAATATATCATATCATTTAGCTATTCCTGATATGAGGGTCGTAATGGGGGTACCTTCATGACGAATAATGGTAAAAATTCTTGCCTAATGACGTTAACAGTAATTTTTGGTGCATGACGATAAAATGTACACTTTCTTTTAGACGATAAAAAAATCAGATTTTGACGAATCAGGTAAATTTTTTTCCAAAAATAACGGTAACGATAATTATTTGAGACCTTTGATGAATCATGATAAGGATATCTTGACGAATCACGGTAAATTTTTAACCCATTTGACGCTAACTGTAGCCGAAAATGACCGTTTAACGCCTGATGGTAAAGGGCATTCCTTCCCTCTTATATTAAAAAAAAAACACTCATGCTGATATAATGCTGAGTTTATTTGTTTGTATTTTATCTATTTGTATTAATAGTTTTTAATGGCCTCAGGAAAGATTAACATGTAAATAATTGTTAAATGAGTTACATTTGTTAAATAAAGAATTTTATTTATTTATTATTTTAAAATACCATGTATACCAAATGGAGATATTTTATCAAGAGCGTTTATAAGTTATGTTTTTTTTATTCATGGTTGTTGTTTACTTAGCAAATATTTCAGATAAACACATGATAAAATTTGAGTTTGCATAAAATTAACTTTCTATGAATATTTTTAGTTGAAAACACTTAATGAAGTGATTAATTGATATAACATGCATGCATATCAATTTGATTACAATATGAGTGCATTATATAATGCTTGGAATAAATGGAGGTGGATGTGTAACAGTGGTTTGATTCCGCCAGTGTACTTTATCCGGCGGAAGAAAATCCCCAGTGATTTTTATCCACCAACGAAAATTCACTAGGTTTTTCTATCCGGGTCCAGTGTAAAACATCCACCAGTCATTATAAGGTTCTAAAAAGGGTTTTTTGAAGGGGAAATGTATATAAAATGTGGCTTTATAGTTTTTAGTGTATTTGAAACTTGCATAGTTGATTTATGTAAAAAGTGGAGAGTTTTCATCCAAGGAATGTTCACACTAGTGTTTTTAAACAAGGAATGATTACACTAGTGATTTTGTACCGGAATGATTGCACTAGTTATTCTATACCGGGATTAATTACACCAGTGCTTTGGATCCATCCATACATTGATGAAGTGATTAAAGTACTCATTTTCAACGCACGATATAAACACAATAATGCTTATATATTAACGAATAAGATTTAAATAATTTTTCTATGCAAATCTATCAAATCATATGCTTTTAAAATTGTCACTAATTGTAATATTTATTTTTACTGGATTGCCGAAGTGTTTCTGTGTATTTGCTTTTCGGTCGACTTGGATATAAAATCATATCTTATAAACTGGTTCCTTGAAAATCATTTTAATTTTAACCCATTTATTTATGTAAACAATAAACCGGTCTAATATCAACAAAACAACGATATCAAGATCGACGCTTTCACACTATTTACATCCAATATTCTCTAGTGAAAAACAGTTACCCGGAATAAACATGATAAATACACGGCGGAATGAAAGTACGCTTACAGATGCCATATTTAAAACAAAATTAGACAGACCTTATCAGTTTGTATGAAATATTTTGAGAAGGTATGGATTCATTAGATACAACCTTACATACACTGTAGGCTGTAGCTATGCTTCTGGATAAATTTCAGTGCTATATGCTACAGTGGTGATCGAAAAGATCGTCCCAGTTTTGTGTAGTGTTTTATGTGAACTGTTTTTTAAAATGGTTTTTCCATTGTCTAATTTTCGTCAACTTATGGTTTTTAATCTTCTTCCTCTTTTGAATGAGGATACATACATGATATATAAAAAATGAATCGAAATTCTCTCAGCAAATATCTAATCATAGAATAATAATATATCTACAAATTCTTACCATTTTACAAGATTCAGAAAGTGTTAATTCTCTGTTATCACTTTGAAAAATAAATGTTCCATTATCTGCAACCGCTCCTGCATTTTGTCTTTATGAAATTATGTTTTTGAAAAACCAACTTCTACTTTCACTTTCGACTTTTCCATGAAAAATAATGACTTTGTTCTGGGACTATTATTTTCGTTCGAAAAACTAATATGATATTTCTTATTATACATATTAAAAGCATAACATAACACTGCTTAATGAATCGTTTTCCCCCATTACCTATTTGTTAATTATAAACGGGGTTTTTTTCAGCTTTAAAATTATACCCCAGTCAACATTATTATTTTATCCGGAAATGTTACCGGGATATTTTTACATTTATGTAAAAAGGCGGGAAATGTATTTTAAGCAAGAACAATCAGCTGTTTATTGCAATATCCATTCCAAAATAATCATGAGCAAAAATGCTGTTAGAAGTGTAGCTCAAAATCTAGGTGTAAATTCCCAATCGATCATAAGGTATATGCATTTAATACTTCACTTTGACAGGTCATGTATAAGCAATTATGTGGTGGGTTGTATCTGGGACTATTATATATTTTGTCCCAGGTTGTATCTCTCAATTCACGTATAATTCATCATTTGATATAATGTTAGATCAACCAACAAACCATGCCAGACCCTCACGGTAGACCTGGGTAGTCGGGGTCGTTAAACATCCCTTAGAAGTAGTAGATCAAATAAACTGACGGGGTTCAAGGTGTTTGTGGGCACCAACAACTCGGATATCCCCTATCCTAGGACAGTGTGGGGCCTCTGTGGCAGAGTGGTATATCAAACTACTGTATCACTAGCCTGACAATACTGAGGTTATGAGTTCGAATTCCGCACAGGCAGGTGCACTCCAATCTTATTGATTAGAATTGTTAGTTTTCCTACCGAGGGTAGGTTGTTCTCTCTATGCACTCTGGCTTCCTCCACCAATAAAAACTGACCACATGAAATAGGCAAAAGTGTTGAAAGTGGCGTTTAAAACACCAATCATTCAATCCTGGGACAGTGGTCATGGTGGTGTAACACTGGGATTATTATAATATATATTTGTCATAGAAATCTCGTGTAACAGCACAACATAAGAGCAAATATAAAAATCAGACAAGAAGGGCTTGACTAATCATATCGCTACAAACACAGGAGACTCAAAGTACAGATCTCTGAGTACTCCGCAGTTAATTATCAAGGTTGTAACATAAAATCATGTCCCCCATGAAATACTGTCAATCAGACAAAATTTCTTATAAAATATTGTCAGTGGACACTACTGTCTATTTCATAATTAAATACTGTCCAGGACAATATTTCATTATGAAATAGTGTCCTTGTCCATGAAATTTTGTCACCTCCTTCTAGACAATATTTTACTATGGAATACTGTCCATGACAATATTTATTTAGAAACTTTCATCTTTATTTTCACATTTTTTTAACACAACTGATATATTGAAACTATCTAAAAAGATTAAAGCCTCAAATATAATAAGGATTAACATGATTTTGAAATTTAGTCATATAATATTTCGTACATAAATGACAGTGCATCATAAGCCTCTAAAGGCTGGTTGGTATAAATATACATGTTTATTGACTGCATATGTGTAAAATTGTAATATATTGTATTTCATGTATATGTACCAAGTTGTACTTTAAAATAAAATTATCTATCTTTCTATTCCACTGTGAAATTCTGTCCATGATATTATTTTAAAATTTTTTGCAATCTTATGTATTCACTGAGAAATCCTCTGCCATGAAATTGTGAGCATTTCTGGATTTTTTTTTCTCAATATTTTTCATGAGAAGTATGTGTATAACCATAAATTATTGTATGAATTAATTATGCAGGTTTGTTTGTTATAATCAATCAAATAAAACACTTTAATGATACCATTATCCAAAATACTAAATGTTTTGATATAACCTCCCTTTCAAAATTGCAATACAATCCACCTAAGAAATATTGTCTCAATATACACAATATATAGACCTTGGATAACCCCCTCAAACAAGACAAGATTTCATACTATCCATCTATGTATATTGTCTGTTTATGGACAAAATTTTATATAGAAATTTGTCCTTTTCTGGACATCATTTCATAGACATGGACAAAATTTCATGATACAAAGTCGTGAAATATTGTCTTGGGGAACAATATTTCATAGGACAATCTTTTGCTTTACACAGTTACTGGAGAGCAGTTAGGGTTAAATTGAAGAACATGTTCCTCCCTTGAATTTATGTTGTGATTTATGCATTTTATTTAAATTTATAGGGAAACTGTATGGCCATTGATGTTACGTTTTGTTTTACTCTTTCATTATTTACTAGTCCAAAGCGGACTAGACAGTGTGATAACAACTTTGGAGATAGAAGTTAGAGCACTAGTCTAAGATCCTCCCATTCTTAGCTTTTCCTATGACATGCATTGTCAGTTAATGCACTCGTCTAGAAATAGCAGAAGTTAACTCACTCGAAGATCATAGCAAAAATTACCATTCATGTTGCAAAATAATCTTGTTGCATTGTTTCAATTTGTTTTTGGCAAAAATGCCAGTTAAGGGATAAAAGCTCCAGGGAATCTCTTGTTTTAAATTTTTTCCTGAACTACTGGCCAAATGTTACCAAACTTTTCTTGAAAGTTTTTTAAGGGAATGCAGCTTTACAATTGAATCTAGGGGTTTAATATAAACAAACATAACGGCTGTTACTTAACAAAGAACATCAGGGTAAAACTGTAGTTTTCAAGTTTATATACCTCAAAAACTAAAGCATTTAGAGCAAAACAGCAGGTGGGGGTCTAATTTTAAATTTTCAGAAAAATTGAAGAAATAGTAGCCCTTAAACTTTCAAAAGGTATATATGATCAGCAGGTCAATTTTGATTTACTTACATGTAGGAATTGTAAGAACCCTTTTTTGGAGTTTTTGCAAATTGGACAATCCCCTTTGGAGTTATTGCGCCTGAAATTTTATTTTTTAGAAATTTTGTAGTTTTTATACGCCACAAAAAATTTTTGCAGTCATATATTGGTATGACGGCGTCGTCGTCGTCGTTCGAAGACACATTGGTATTCGCACAATAACTTTAGGTTAAATACCACAACAGGAAGGTTGGGATTGATTTTGGGGGTTATGGTACCAACGGTTAAGGAAAAAGGGGCCAAAAATAAGCATTTTTGTAACTTCCAGACAATAACTTGTGTTAAAGTGTATGGATCTCTCTGAAATTAAACCACAAGTTTCCATACCACAAAGGGATGGTTAGGATTGGCTTTGGGGGGTTATGGTTCAAACCGTTTAGGAATTAGGGGCAAAAAAGGGGGAAAAACAAGGGTTTCCTGGTTAATGGACAATTTAAAAGCAGTGTAAGGGAGGTAATCCAAAAACAAAATTGTACAATGTTGGATTACCTCTCTTACACTGCTTTTAAATTATCTATTTAAGACTTTTATGATGTATTTAAATTGGCAATTATGGTTGCAAGCTCCATTGGTAATTTGTGTATTGCACAAAAGCAAAAAATTTAATATAAATTCAAATCATATAACCAGTTCTAAGTTCTTTGACTACAGTTATTCTGTGTCAGAAACCTATTATGTGTCAAATGTTTAATTACAATCCAAATTCAGAGCGTGAATATTGTGTCCATTTTTGCCCCAACTGTTCAGGGTTGGACCTCTGTGGTCGTATCTAGCTGCGTCCTGCGAAGCAATTTATTGGTCATTATCTTGAAAATTTTTAAAGAATAGATTTAAAACACTTTGAAATTTAAAACTGTAATATTTTGTGAACGAGATAAAAAATTAAGATTACTTTGCCAAAATAATCCATGGACACTTTATAGGAATAATGGCCCTTGACTGATGATTTTTGTTGAAAAAGCGAGACATAGCGATCCTACATTCCGTCGGCGTCAGTGGCGTCCTCAAATATTCACTCTGTGGTTAAAGTTTTTGAAATTTTAATAACTTTCTTAAACTATCCTGGATTTCTACCAAACTAGGACAGAAGCTTGTTGATGATCATAAGATAGTATCCAGAAGTAAATTTTGTATAAAAAAAATTCCATTTTTTCCGTATTATACTTATAAATGGACTTAGTTTTTCTGCCAGGAAACATTACATTCACTCTGTGGTTAAAGTTTTTAAAATTTTGATAACTTCCTTTAAACTATCCTGGATTTGTACCAAACTTTGACAGAAGCTTCTTTATGATCAAAGCTGGTATCTAGAAGGAAATTTTGTTCCTGTTTTTCCGTATTTTACTTATAAACATGATAAATGGACTTAGTTTTTCTTCCAGTTACCATAACATACAGTCTGCAGTTAAAGTTTTTAAAACATTTATTAGATTCATAAACTATCCTGGATTTTTACTAAACTTGGACAGAAGCTTCTTACAATCAAAAGATAGTATCCAGAGGAATATTTTTTTTTTTTTTCCCTCATTTTTGTTGAGCCTGCGATTAACAGCAAAAATAGGTGAGACACTGGGTTCCACGGAACTCTTACAAATTTTTACTCTTTCTTGCATGCTGTTTTGAGGGTTTTGTTTTGGTAAAAATTATAATAGAAACATGGTACATGTAACTATCAAAAATGTTCAGCCAAATAAAATCCACAAATATTTCAACATGGTCGAGATTGTCAATTGACATTGTATAGGAGTTAAAAGCCCTTTGCACATGACTACAATCAAAGAGGTGATTGGCTTCAAATGAAGATTTCTTACTTATTTCAAGTTTTTGTCTGTTATCTCAAAAACTATGATAGTGAGGTAAAAACTATAAACAGGAAATTTTGACAGGCGAGCAAATCAGGCTATAATGAGCTTCTTGTTTGTGTTTTTGTGTAGTTATGGGACCTTAATCATCAGATTTAAGGCATTATTCCACATGTCACACTGTAAACTGCCTAAGAGGAGACCCGACCAGTCATGCTTCAGTGATTCCCTATATAATCAACCAAATTTTTCCCACAAAAGGGGGGGGGGGGGGGGGGGCGGGTACCCTGGGCCCCCTCTAAATCCGCCTCTGTAAAAGACATTAAGTAATATATGTTAAAAGGTGGGACAATATATATGGAAGGGAATATCTGCCATAATTATAATTTCTTAATTTGTTAAATGCAATTTCTTAATTTGTAACATGCAATTTATTAATTTGTAAAATGTAGTTTCTTAATTTGTAACATGTATTTTTTACATCCGTTACATACTTTTCTACATTTCTTGATTTGTGAAATGTAACTTCTTAATGTGCAAATGCAATTTCTTAATTTGTTAACGTATTTTCTTCGTTTGTTACATGAAACTCTACTTTTCTTAATTTGTGATATGTAATTTCTTTGTTTGAGTCACGTTTTGGGAGAATATGTCAGAGTAATTGTTACCGTTGCCAGGCAATGATAAGTTCTGTTTCTCAAGCATTTGTCAAGAAAAACTACAAGTTAAAAATCAAC